TAATGAATAATACACTATATCGGGAAAGTTAATATAACTAGCTATTAAAATACTCAAGATACTATACGTATTACTGTATTCATACGTATTACGTATGTCGAGTTGATATATTACTCAATAGATTATATTTATTAACACGCTTTTTAAAGCCTATAATGAATCTAATTACAATCATAACAATTAAAATTATGTCAAGTATGTACGTTTTCATCATTATGTTCATTTCGGCAAAAAAAACATGATTTAAGGTGATACCTAGCTTTATATCGTTATGCCATTGTTTACAATTTTGGAATACCTACGAATGACAATAATCCTAAACAAAGTTTTTTACATTACAGGCTGTTTGTTTCGGAATTACGTACGCACAGGTGATTTAAGCACATAAATGGACTTTAATAACAATAACGATAAAGATAGTCTCAAAAAATAATAAATAAATACATACCTACATAAAAATTCCCTCTCACGCAATTAAAAATGTCCAGCAATAGTCAAACACATAAGACTCTTTCAAAGCTACTTGAAAATTTGTCACTTGAAGAAAATGATGACAAGTTTTATGAATATTTCGACAAACTTGGGTCCTTACCACATGCCGAAAAAGAAGCAAGATTTAAAGAATTTTTAGATAAAAATGAACAAATTTATAAAGAAACTTCTAATATATCTTCTGTTCATGTTGACGAAAATTACACTCAGTATCAAATAAATGAATACCGAAAGAAAGCAATTGCAGATCATACCTTTTCATTCGCAATGCAGCATAATCTTGGACATGTTATCTCTGAGCGTCTCACAAATTTCTTCTATGTCAACAGTAATCTTCTTGGATCCGGTGTAGATGGTAAACCGCTTAAACAAATTACTTGCGCAAATATTAACGTCGCAAAAAATTTCTTCTGTAAGAAAATTGCTGACAAACTTTGTAGTAGCTGTCATGTTATCTCTTATTGTAGCAAAGAATGTCAAAAAATGCATTGGAAACTTCATAAAATTACTTGTAAATCAGATATCGCGTCGAAGGATTGGAAACCTGACTATATCAATGAAATGCGGACTCCTGCTTTCTATGCTCAGCCTCAACCTTTTACTTCTTTTAGTCCTTTAATAAAAGAATATTTATGGGGAAACATGCCAGCAATTGATATTGTAAATTTAGCTTCCAATGAGCTCGCTGATGGCAAGTCTTGTTCAAACTATAAAGGTCCTTTTAATCTTCTCTTTGCTGCAAGCGGTGATCTCAATGATGTTATTGCATCGGTCAATGGATTACCACTTGATTTCAATCAACAAATTAATATTTGCATTAATGATCATGCTGAAAGGATTGTAATTCGAAATTTTATAATACTTTATTTACTCTCAAAACTTGGAAAGGATGCTATTGAAATTGTTATTCATATTTGGTATTCATCTTCACTTACTGATAAACAATTACTTAAATGTCTTGAAATATTCAGCTCAATTCTTATAGGTAAATCAGATTCAAGGATGAATAAAAATGAAGTATTTGAGTTTGGTAAACTCAAGATTCGTACTCATTTTAGTCCCGAGACTTGGATGTGCCTTGTAGGAATGCTTGGAAATGATATCGATTTACAAACTGCCGTTGACACGCGCAATAATATTATGTTAAATCCTGCGCGCAGAGATTATCGACATCGATATATGCAACGTCTTACTCCAGGAGAACGAATTTGTTTTGATAATTTTCGTCATCACGGAATTCTTCTTCCATTTGGTGCGCTGGATGCTCATCATAACGTACCAAATAGGTTCATCATAGATCGAATGTTTGGTTGGACAATGGCTGATAGTTCTGATCCACTTTCTGGATGGAATATGTTTGACGTTACCAAGATTAAACAGGGAACAGCAAATGAAGATCTTTACGGAAAACTTTTCTTTTATTTACGTGAACAACTTGAAAAGTTTATTGATCGATTGCAAAAATTATCTATTAATTTTGATTTATATGATGGGGATGCACTTGAACTTGGTGAAAAATTAAAAGGCAAACTATTTGATCGAATTCATGTAACTAATCTTAGTGACGAATTATATGTTGGTGTTAAACCTACATTAACCAAATTCCGACCGCTTCTAAATGATAATAATCCACATGCAACTTTAATTACTCTATTCATGAATTGGTTACCTTCTATTCCAGAATCTGATAAAATAAGAATAATGGAAGAAATTTTCATGAAAAGAGCCAATGAATATAAAATGAATCGTACTCCATCTCTCTCTGAGGCCTCTAATTTGGCATCTATGATAACAACTCAAACTGCTACTGAAGCTACCGCTTTGTATGATCATACCCAAGCATTCAATGTATATATGAAAAAGATGGGTGCAAATAAAACTGCAGAAAAGGTCGGATTGCGTCGTCGAGAAGTTCATAAAGTCGTGCCCAAGAGAATTGGTGCCAGCATGAAACAAGATGAACAAAACAATGTCATATCACCTGAAAATGAAAGAGATAGACATTTATTGTTTGATTTGGGATCACACACGTTTTTAGAACGTTACGCTGAATGGGGAATTGCAACTTAACTTTTATAATATCTCTTCTTGCTTTATTTTTTTTATTTCACAAATGATATAGCCTATATACAATATGATTATATAGTATCATATCTTTACAACATTTATAAATATGTTATAAATTCCTTTTATAAATAATCACAATTACTTTCTAAAGAAATAAAATATAATAAGATATATTGCTGCATCACTTTTGGTTTTAGTAAAACAATTAAAAAATATGTATTTGGAATGTGTTTGCTTTTATAGAGAGTAAACTATATAAGGCACTTATGAATTAGGACCAACTTGATCATTGGGGTGTTACTATAAAATGTCCAATAAATTTTTAATAGTAAAAGATGTGTCTCGTGCAAGGTGACAAAAATTATCGCACCCGCGGCCTTGCGTGACTTTCGTAAGGTGACATGCCTCGTGCGAGATGATTAAGAAATTTTTAATGAATTTTTTAGCATATATTCTAAAATGAATTCTTATCATATGAGACTTGCGAACTCGCGTGATAAAGTCTCGCGCGAGATATGTGAAATGTATGCTAGGTTTATCTTGAGAAAGGTATATCTTTGGAAACATGTGAAATTTGCTAAAAATTAACTATTAAATCTAATATCGTTTAGTAAAGTAAAAAAAATGGCATGTCGCTTTAAAGAACACGTTGAGAGGATTTCGGCAAATATTTTATTTATTATTTACTCGTTCAAGAGTAATTAAGGTTTAAGAGGTAAAATTGTGGTTAAAGAGAGCAAAAAATAGCAAATTTAATAATAGAAATTTTTGGAAGTTGATATAGTTTCATATAGGGCTGGAACGCAACTAGTTTATAATAAAAAAAACTTTTTTTAGTTAACTAAATTTCTTTAAGTATTTAACAGATATTATATAGCAAATTATAATTATTAAAATCGTGTTATTAGACCATGAATTATTGGTGTTTTTATTTATAACTATATATAATAGAATTTTTTATAATATTACTACTATCTATAATATTATTACTTTATAACTAGATTTTTTTTTAACTTATATTTATACAAAATCTTTGTATTTAATTATAATTTTTTTTAGAAATTTACTATCTTTACCCATAGGGTATAATACCCGGTATAATATTTATATAGAGCCCTATATATATATTAAGATTAGGGTTAGATTTAGAAATATGTGTGGTTATATACAAAATTAGGTGCTAAACAATTTTACTTAAAATACCTACATATGGTTACCTTAGTAAAATTTTGAGATATTAAAGATTTTTGATTTTTTTCTTATACCAGGTATTATACCCACCGGGTACAAATAGTAATTCTCTTTTTTTTATATATTAAAAAATTTTAAAACCCAATTATAAATAGTTATAATCAGTTAATAATTTGGTTTAATTAATTATTATTGTTGGTAATGCTAATAATTAATATAAATCAAAATTGATAATATATAATTGTTTTTTTTTATAGTCAAGGCTAGTTTATTATTTTTATTAGATGCACAAGGGATCACTAGTGCCTCCAGAAGCCCTAAACATAGTATATTCTAATTAAATATATATAGACATACGTACAACTTTAGTCATTGCTTATTTTAGTTATTTTCTATATCTATACCTAAGACTGCCTGTAGATTCTAATTTAAACCTTTTAATCTAACTTATCTATGCCAATCTGACCTAATCTTATTTAGAACATAAGATATATAAGTTATTCTATGATTTCTAGATTATTGTAAACTATCTATAGAACAACTATTTCTAGTATATTCTCAAATATTTTGTTTATTAAAGCCTTTCAGCATCTACTTTTATTATATATAATCTAGTTTTTTTTTAGTATTTTATACCAAGTTTAAGAATAAGTTTTGCAAACTATTATATTTGCACTATTATTTACTCAACTTTTGTAAAGTTTACTCAAATCTAATATTTCTTATCAAGACTACCAATATCTTTCACTTACCTTAGTTAGTTTTCTTAAACTTTTAATTCAAATAGTTTGGCAAAATACTAGTTCTTTGGTATCTGTATTGCAGATCTTTTTTCTAGTATTCTGGTAGTCTAGTTAGTAAAGCAATTTTTTAAATACTTAGTTTGTTTAGTTTTACTAGTGTTACTATTGTTTTGGGAGAGCTTATAGAACTATCGGCACAATTTAACTCCAATAGTTAACTTTATATGTTC